TGCAAGGCGTGTAAGTTCATACATAGACCCTCCAAAACATTCTCAGATTCCTTGGGTGTACAAGAATTTAAAGTTCGTAATTTCTTCAATTGTCAGTCCAAGGGACTTGTATACTTACTTATATGCTCATGCAACAAGCTATACGTGGGAAAAACCTTTCGTAAATTCAAATTTAGAATTAGGGAACATGTCAATTCAGTTAACCCTGGAAGACAAATAGATACCCCTATCTCTAAACATCTGAAATCCCACCACGGGGGGTCCCCACTAGGGATCAGTTTTTGTGGCATCGAAAAAGTCACACTTGGACCAAGAGGGGGAGATTTAGATAAAAGACTACTTCAAAGAGAGAGTTTCTGGATTTATAAGCTCAAAACCCTGTCACCAGTCGGATTAAATGAGGGTTTCTCCTATACACCCTTTATTGCCGACTAGTGAACTATGGTCCGAATATGCCTCTTTTCCATCTCATCTCTATTAGCATACGATTTGTATATATTTACTTCTTTATAAATTAGCCTAATATGCCTGATACACTTGTAAATTTTGTAATATAGCGTGTGTAGTGTTTATATATGTATATATATTTTTCTTATTTTTACATTTTTGTTTATTAATTATGATATGAATACCTTCCTAATGACTATATAAATATAACATGTCTAAATATATACTTGCACTATGTAGAAGGGTATATTTCTATATTTACCCTTTGATGCATATTCCAGGTAACTAGCATAGATTATCTATATTTAGACAGTAGGATATTTTAATAATGAAGAAGCAAGTCATATGGTCCATAAATGTTTCTTTTTATTTATTATTTATTGTTTATTTGATTTATTCTATCTTTTGATTGTGGATCCAGGGAGGACAAAACAAGTTGCTATATTTCAATTGAAAACTTGCCCCCTTTGTTCACTAGGTACCCGTCTAAATTATCAGACACACTGAGTCTTTATGTGAAGCAGATGATATTGAATAGTTATATGTTTTATGCATGTTTACATTCAACTCATAATTTGTCTGGATACAATTTGTACAGTTGGTGCATACTAGTGAGCAATTTAAATGGATCTTCTTTTGATTTCTGATATGCGATCTGGTTGTCATGGAGCGTTTGGGTGAGTGCCTATATTAGGGACATTCAGGAATGCCAATGTAGATGCAGTTACCGTGTTATTATTTCTACTGGTCGGCTGTATCGGATCACTATTACCTTTAAACCCCACTCTAACACATTGGGCAATTCTTAATATTTTAGGTGCACCCCATTTGATCTTTGGCGTACCCGCCCATTTGACCATGAGGGGCGGAGTAATCTCTAGCTGTATGAGGAGATCTCCGCCCTCTTTCACATACCTAACTACGCCCACGACGTGTTCCATTCCGCTTTCCGTCGTGCCGCTTAGACCACGTGACCTTTAACATACTCGGTCACGTGTTCGGCAGCAAGCCCCGCCTACATCCGTCTCTCGTTGCCTACCATGACACAGAGACAACTTGGAGATTATGTCCAGCTGAGTTTCTACATCCCCAGATCCTATTGGCTAAAGGTATTCATTCTTTTTTGGCACTCTCTGTACTTAAGAGACTTTTTAATCAGTTTACTGTTGGCCCCTGACGAAGGTGCTCCTTTATAGCACCGAAACGTACGTCGGGCATTTCTCCTCATATCATGTATATGAGCACTGGGCACTGGTGAATGTAGCACCATGATTTTTATTTAACACTTACTCTTATTTTTCTATCCTTTTCCTATGCCTGTCTAGTTAGATTTACAGGGAGAGAGGCTTGTTTAATTTTAAATACCAGTCTGTCTTTTCAGACTGTTTACTGACTACATTTCACTTTCCATCTCTCCCTCCTATATCTATTAGCTCTTTTGTGAGCCCTTCTGTTACAATGATTACTGATTCTTTCAGGTGGGGAAGTATGCTGGGGCTCTAGCCATTGGTCACTCATACCCGTTTAGCATTGTACAATAAAGCTGGTAATTAGGGTTGAGGCAGGACATTAGACGGCAGATATTTAACCCCTTGTACATATATCCCCCGCTTTCATCTGGCATGGGATTTGAGTCACACCTGTATATACTTTATTTGATTGATTTTTTCTGTTTTTGGGTCTCTATTTATATATATTTATTATTTTGCCATCATTTTCTAGACTACACTCTATCGCTATAGATATTTCCAGATATGTGGTTAGTCCCTAGGATATAGGGAGACTGACTACATTGCGTTATATATATATTTTCGTCTACCCCATAACCCTTCCACATAACCCTTCCCCATAACCCTAACCCTTTCCTAACCCTTTTCTAAACCTTTCCCTAACCTTTTCCCTAACCTAACCCTAGGATTATGGGTAGGGGAAGGGTTAGGGTTGTGGTTAGATTAGGGGTAAGGTTAGGGGTAGGGTTAGGGTATTGCTAAAGTCCAGGATTCCCTAAGTGCCATAGTCCCAAATTATATACAGGAAAATGGAAACACCACAAACTTCAGGGGGATTTGGCACCACTTGAAATTATACTGTGGGGCAATAAGTTTGATCCAGAGGCTTATTTTTCTACCAGGTCATTTAAAGGTAGCTTAAAGGAACATGCTAGGCACTGTTCATCTTGTTCAATTTTATGGAGTACCCTGGTGCTGTCCTATCAGTCATTATTAAACATCTGTGACTAAGAATGACTAAGTGTGTCTATTGACCACTTTCAGCCTTTTACAGACCAGGGACCCTCATTTAGTGTTAAACTGCTAAAACATGGTTTAACAGTGAATGGAGGGGTAGTGCAATAAGACTATAAGCATGATAAGCAAATCAATGATATGAAATGGTCACAGTACCTACAGTGTCTCTTTAAGATGGCTCTTTTTCAGGTCAGCATTAATAGTGAGACATTTTTCACAAAGCACATACCAAACATAACCACTACAGTTTGGTGTAATGATTACATAGCCTAGGGTCTCTGTGCTGCATCTTATGATTTTATAACAAACCACTTAGGAGTGGCTTGACAATAGCTTGGACTCTATGCAGAGCCTGGAAACCACTTCCTACTTAAATGCATTAGTAATGTGGAATTAGTACTGCATTATCATTGTAAAGTTCATCCAAGCTAGATGGCATCAATAGGTTGAGAGTGCTTTAAGCAAGTCAGTGCTCCCCAGGTTGAATAAAATTGTCATTAATAAATACAAAATTTTAATTCTGCATTATTACTCTAGCTAATAATGGGACATTTTCTCATGCCATGAACAGCTCTTGTTTTTGTCATATCTCTTCTATAGTTAAAACAGAGGCCAAGGAACTCTGCAATAATTGTGTTGGATGTCTGGAAACCTTACAATCCTACTAAGTCACTAGGTCGAAACCTTGCTCATTTTGCTCAACCTTGCTCAACCTTGAGTCATTTTGGTGGTGGCTAAATAGACATCCAACTGAATCATCCAGATTGACAGAGCATTATTTGTCCTAAATAGCTTATGATGTTTTGGGTAGTGACTTGGCTTGTAATGCCATCTTAGGTATCCATCTGCTTATCGAACTTTCATAGGGAATAGTACTGCTACACTCTCAGGGTTGTTCATTAAAGTGAAAATTGTTGAGAATTTAAAGGGAATTTCATATTTAAGGTCAAAATAGCCATTCTGGAAAATTCTCTAAGCCAGCTATTCTTCCAGTTTTGCTACTTTGTCCTGTTGTAGATAATATGTGTGTCTCTTTACTATCATAATGAAATAATGCTATAATATAATGTATTATCCCATTACAAAAAATTACATGAGTTCACATGAGTATGTATAAGTTAGCCATTCAACCTTTATGGTCATTACAAGAAACAGGTATTTTGAATAAAGAAAAAATATAAAGAATAAAGAAACAAAATAAATTCACAGATTTGAAATCAGTTCTATGTTCAGCAGTGTCAAATGAATCAAATTCTTTTTGAAATATGTCAGAATGAATCATTTCATCTGGGATGTACCTGTGAATTATTATAAGACTAATCACCTCCTGGAGGTCCTGGATGGAGCAATTCATTCAGGTACAGATTACCAGGAATTTGATTTGTTCAAATCATTCAGCTGAAATGGTTCACTTCTTATTGTCTGCCTAATGTCTTCAGCTAATCTGAATGTAGCTAGTATCCAAGTCTTGATTACAAATCTAGAATTTATGGTAGTCTGCAAACTGCTGCAATATTCAAACTTCAAGGGACAATAAATATATTTACAAAGGGGACATTTCCTGACTTCAGATATTTTTTTTTTTTTAATTTGGTTCAGTCAAATTAACTAAAAATTGAGCTTGCCACTCTCTGTCACTGCATCTGGAGCATTATGTAGTAAACTGTTTTGACAACTATAAGCACTTGATATAAACTCAATTTAATTACAGTATTACTGTTCCTTTAAGCCAGCAATCTTTCCTTATATTTGTTTTCCAGTAAATAGCTCAAGTATTGGCTGGCTTGAAAAAGCTGTCTTGAACTAACCTGAAATTACTTTTAAATTACTTTTGTGGCTAGACCCTCTCATTTACCATGTAACCTGGGATTCTCTTAGATTAAACTTGCAATACTACCAAAGTCACCGAATTCAATTAAAATGGGATGGGGGATACAGAATTTACTACACTTAGGATGTTTATAAAACAATGAAAAATGAAAGTTTTAAATAAAATGAATGAGTTAACAGGCATATAATACCTTCCAGAAACAAAGCCAGAAAATTGTGTTTGCGTATTGTGTTTAGCAAATAGAAATAATATATCTTTAATTCCCTGTGTTTCATTCATTATGAGCCAAATGTTTTGATTTTATTGTCAGAATGAGTAAAAGATCACTTCTTAGTGTGTTTTTTTTTTTTTTTTTTACATTTCCCAATTTCTTGCTTTTTTAAACAAAGCTCAACAATAGTGATGTCCCGAACGGTTCGCTGAACGGTTCGCTGCGGACTCATCATTGAGTAAACTTTGACCCTGTACCTCACAGTCAGCAGACACATTCCAGCCAATCAGCAGCAGACCCTCCCTCCCAGACCCTATTACCTCCTGGACAGCATCCATTGTGAAGCTGCATTCTTAGTGAGCTGTCCAGGAGGTGGGAGGGTCTGGGAGGGAGGGTCTGATGCTGATTGGCTGGAATGTGTCTGCTGACTGTGAGGTACAGGGTCAAAGTTTACTCAATGATGAGTCCGCGGCGAACCGTTCATGGCAAACCGTTCACGAACCGTTTGGGACATCGCTACTCAACAACTATGAAAAGCTTGCCAACAGTGACATGAACTTTCAGATAAACTCCAGGAGTGCATAAAAATAAAATGACAATGTTTTCTAAATGGCAATTTAGCAAGTGAAAAAATAACACAATGCATAAAAATGATAATGTATAAAATAATTTTATTTCACTTCATATGGCTTAGCCATTTCAGTTATAATAACAGACTTTTTGTCTTTTTAGGCAGATTTATGCTGTTGAAGTTTTATCAAGGCAAATAATTTGATCCAAAGGGCTTTTGCTCTAAGTTTAGCCGTATCATCTCATATGCATTATGTTTCCACTTGTAATTATTCATACTGACAGCATGAAATTAAACCACAAGCATGAAACACAAAAAGCACAGAGAAAGGTCAGCACAATGCCAACATCTGCTGAACAAAAAACATATAGCAAACACCTGGATTGACAACAGACCAACTATTTTATTTGTAAATGATGTTGATTAACATAATTTATTTTACTTTGCAACTAAATCAATGATCAGAAATACTGTCCAGCTGTACTGCAATTATATTTTATTTCCTCATAGCCTACCCATTCCAAGTGGAAGATTGAAGTAATAAAGTAATAAACCTTTTATTTATAGAAAGAGAATATCAAACAACATAGTAATTCTAGGATTTTAAAATATAAAAATGCATTGTATAGTACCTTGTATATGTCTGCTTATAATTTAATCAGTATGGGATTTAGAGAGATTTAGAGAAATTACTATCTCATATCCAATATTTATGGACATACAAATGTCTGCCGATGATTAGTTAATGATGTTAAAGTTATCAGAATTCCCCAAAATTCTTATACTTTAGTGTTTGTTATTATCGCATTGGTAAAAAAAAGGGCCCTGTACTTTATGTTAAGCCAGCATGTTTCATTGATCAAAATCTCCTACTGAATTTAACAAGATCAACGAAAGCTTAGCAGTTCCAATTCTGCAAAGAACTTAAATATAACTTAAAAATGTTTTTCTAACAAATAACCAATACCCTAAAAGATTATCAAGTTCAAAATAGGAGTAGAATGACTACCACAAACACTGCCCCCTCCAGGATGACTTCATTGAAGAAAGTGGTCTCTGCAGCACTGAGGGAGCCTCATTAATGGCGAAAGGTGAGTCATTTGTTTTAATAAAAAAAATTTTTTTTACGTATTACAGGGGGGACCTATTTATTAAGGAGCTTTAGGATTGTAGCTTTAGGAACACAGATTTGTATCCTAATGCTACAGTGTTTATTTAATTATACAACTGTCATCATTAGTACATTTGGTTGTTGGTGACGTTCAGAGTGTGATGTAGTGTAAATGCCCACAGATTCATCATTTTTTGTGTTGGTAAATTTGTGATAATGGCCTCTTGACCTCGATATAGTAATATGAATGGTGAAAACATTTTGTTGTTAAATAAACTGAATATTGAATTGGAAATATGAAAGGAATCTCCAATCCTAAATAATCTCCAAACTGATTTTAAAATGGTCTCTTACTATTTGATAGGTCCCATAGAATTTAAATAGGACAAATACAGAAAGTACATTTGCCAGAACACCATTTTTAATGTTGCTGTGGGGTTGTACTGTGTTATTATCTTAGCAAGAGTGAGGACAGTGATTGTCTGTGGGGGGAGTCAAGTAAGCAGTTTAACTTATACTGATCTCTCATTGGCTGAGCTGCATTGTTACCTTCCAATCAGAAATACTTTTTTTTTTTTTTAAATGGGCAGTATGGCTAAGGCGGTAGGGCTATAATTCAAAAACAGCAAAACTTTTTTCTTTTTTAAGCAAAACAAGAAATCTAAATAAAGAATTTAAGAGACTGTGTATTGCTATGTAATGAAGGCCTCGTAACTCCATAGAGTTGCAGGTGAAAGAAAGTGTTAAAACATTCTATGAATCTAAATGCATAGTGGATATTTCACAGCTACTTGACGTAATGTCTTGATTTATTTTAAAGCAAAGAGAAATAATTGCATTATAATATAAACTAGTAGCATGTTAAAGACTTAAAAACAGTAATACTTTGCCAGCTCAGGTTGATGAAGTTCAATTACTGACATTTTAAATATATGTGTGTAACAAATTGTATCATCTAAGTGAAATGAAGTTGTGGAGTTGCTAGATTTTTTTTTGTAGGTGCCAATTATAGTCTAAGGTTCATAAAACCTTTACTTTATGTATTTACTAAAATGAACAGTTAATCAATTGTGGGTTTGATAAGCCAGATCCTAAAAAGCTTGGAAGAAAATCGCTCTTACTCATTTCTAATATAGTTGTGACAAATGGAGTTTTGCCAGTGCTAAACTATTGCTTTGTGAACCTTAGACTCAAGCATTTACATTGTGTCACATTATGGCTTTTATTATCCCTCAATTAATAGTCAGCCTTGTCACAACTATTAGACTTTGCCATTTGAAACTGATTAACAAATGCCAGTATTTATTTTCATATTTCTTTCAGTGCACTGCAAAAGTTATTTCCGACATTATTTCAATGTACGACATGACCCACAAAATGACACAGTTGTGTAATTGTCATCAAGATTTAGAGTAATTAACACTAATTGGTAGTCAGATCATGTGCAATGGCAATAATGCAGGATTTACATTGTTGTCTCATAAATTATGGTAAATGTGTCAGAGTTATAAACTATTTGCAGATATTATTGTTTAAAGAAGATCATGTCTCCTAAAGGAATATATAATTTTATAAATATATCACAAAGGAGTATATCACATTTTTACAATCGTTTTTCCATTTAGCAGATTAATAGCTGGCTGCTATAATTTTCTCTAAATGGGTGACAAGATACATAACATCTTATTCACAGCATTCTTGGTAAAGTGATGTGTGTGTGTCTGAGACTGCAATCCTTCTCTTAAGACATCTTAATTTATTGCTGCATTACTGTACTGTAATACAAAAAAAAAAAAAAATAGACTTTCCAAAGGACTGATAACTATTTCAAGCAGTCACATATTAGTTCATTTGAAGTGTTATATGTTTAGTGATTTGTTTAAGCTTGCTGAATTATTTTATATCCCTTGTATTATTATTTTTTTTTGTTTAAATCTCAATTTAAAGAGAAATCAGAACTTTTCTAAATTAGATAAACCTTGCCCTCCTTGGCTGTCAATCAGACTGCTGGTATGGTCTTCCTTATTCTCTTTGTACGCTCACTTAAAGAGGAAGACATCCTATTCATGATGCCTGGCCTTGGAGAGCTTCACTAGTGAGGATCTTCTGGCAGTACAGTGGAACTGTAACAATGAGACTATTTCTCAACTATTTTACAATGAGTGCTGTGGGACACTCCAACATTAGAACTTTTAATACTAAATTTGGAGTATTAGTTTTGGTAATTTTAGACATATGTACTTAACTTGGAAAATGTCTTAAATTCAGCTGCTTTGACCTAAAAATTGTAGGTTAACTTTAAATGCTCTTTGAATTCCTGACAATATAAATTTTAGTGAATGATTCCATGATTATTTACATGTTTAGGTGATATTGTCTTATTTTAGTTTTCATTAGTTTACTGGAACCGGGAAACTTGAAGTGCTTCTGCCCCAGTCGCCGCACACTAACATTTAACACTAAACAATTACATTACACACACCCTGCACCCACAATGAGCAGAGGGTGACTTAAACAAAGGAGTCATCCAGGGATCTAATTGAAGTGTCCATCTTATGCTCCAAGTGAGTGCCATCACACGCATTCATGAAAAATCATAGTTTAATGATTGGCCAAATTGTTGGATAAGGCAATAGCAGGTTAGATACATAAAGCAAAAAAGTTAGAAAGCCAAACTTTCAGGGATAGAAAAACTTTCAAAACTGCAGTTGGAAATATAAAAAAATACACATTTATGAATTCCAGGCTGAGGCTTAGCAGAGAGGGGAAGATATCATTAAGGTGGTGCTTATGTATTTTGTGCCTTACTAGCACTTCATCAGAGTCAACTACCAATGTGCACCACGCACATTTATAGGGTTACAAACATATATAATTAGCTTAAAAAAACGTAGGAAATCGTTAGAGTGGATAAAAATAATAAATATAGATTATTTTATATTTTCAATTGCCGTTTTGGGCATTTCGGAAAATTCAGCTTTTTATGTTTTTTTTATTTGTATTATTTCTATTTGTCCAAAAAAACACTAGATTGCTACACATATTTTCAATTCATTGTATAGTTAATTGAAGTAACTGAATTGCCTAAAAATAAAGTCTATTTAGTGCATCTATAGTCAGTATGACTTCAGAAAAAGATCAAGTAATTTTTTTTTTTACATGTTTTTTTATCGTTGCTTATTTATTAGTCATCATACATTGAGTTCATGAGGATAACTGGTGCAAGGCAATTTTCCCATTGCAGAAAGATTTATATTCAGGATTAGACCCAGCTACTCATTATATGTGCCATAAATTTGCATGAAATCACTTTGCTGCTTTTTGGTCCTAATTAGAAATATTCCTCACTTTTAATTATGTTTAAAAATTCCACTTTACTGTAGTTTATTATCAACCTTTGATACTAGTTCAGTGCCTGATGTAGCCAAGCTTTTCATTTTCTTTTTCTTGTTTCCTTGGTAAATGTACAATGATAGATAGTAAATCACGCCATCACAGCGGTAACCTTTCAACAATCATCCCATTCCGCATTCATGCACAGCATATCGAGATTTAAGAAATGACAATATGTGTATATTATTTTGAGCACTTTTAACAGTAGACTTCAGAAGCAAAATTACATATTAGCAGCATGAAACACAACACAAAGAGAATGGTTTCAAAATTAGATCATTTTCATCTCAACGTACATCTATGCAAAGAAGTATCATGAGCTAAAGATTCAGCAGCTAAATAAAATGCTTTTATAGAGCCCTGGGCTACACCGGTGGAACATGAAATCTAACATTTTTATGTTTAATATTAATAGAGCTATTACAACATCATACAATTATTTTATGATTTTGGTTTTTATACTCAACAAATATTGCAATAGTTACTTTCTCTTTAAAGAATTGCATTAATGATGCCTAATTAAACAGAGTTCCTAGCAGGCCAGCATTTTATTCCAGAAGTTTGGTCCTTAAGGGATTAAACATATGTATGAACTCTGATAAAACCACCTCCATATCCTTATTGCTCTTACTGGAAAAAATACCTTTTCTTTGCTTTAGATGAAATCTCCTTTCTTCCAGGCTAAATGGGTGAAATTGTGTCCTATGTATAGCCCTGTTTATGAACAGATTTCCAGATAATGGTTTGTACTGGCCCCGTTTTCCAAACTAAAGAGATTTAAATTTTTTAACCTTACTTTGTAACTAAAATGCTCCATTCCCTTTATCAATATCAAATAGGCAACATAACCACTGTAACCTATTGATGTGGTTATGGTTGTTACCATTTTATTACTGCAGCCTGGGCAGTAGGCTGCCGGGGACTGAGCATCTCTACTAAATAGTGAGTAAATTATTTAGTAGTGATGCATGATTGGGTGCCCATAGTTTCCCGACACCATTGCCAATTCAAATAATTGAATTAGTTTTGTCTACAGTGTCCAGTACAGTGTATTTAAATGAAAACCAAAATGCTAGATTTTTACTAAACAATCTAACGAATATCCAAGCATATCTTTCTGACTGTAAAAAGTAATGTCATTGTTATTTATTATAAATATGATGGCTGTATTTATGTGTTAGTTTGAAAAAAGGCTCTTGAGAGATGAAGTGTGGCTTTCTGCATTTTAATAAATGTGCTTTAGTCTTCATCTGAATTGTGCCTGTTCTTTACTTGTTAAAATATCCAAGCAAAGATTAAAGCTGCGTATGACAATTTTTTTTTAAGTTAGCAAGTTTACTTTACATTTTGCAATTTAGTTTTTAGTTTACTATGCCTTAGTGAATAAACCCCATACTTAACTATAGTTCCTAAATTTAAAAACTAAATATTGTGGCTGACATCGCAAGGCAGGGTGATATAGTACAGTGTGTATAGTGAATTTAGTATTTGTATTTGTAAGGAATGTAGTGTGTGTGTATAGTGTATGCAGTGTGTGCAATGTGAGCTTGTTTGGGCAGGGCCATCTTCTCTTACTCTTCCCTTATGTCATACATGCTGATCCAGTTGTCATAATGCTGCAAATGTCTTTCAGGCTACCCCATTTCCTCTTCTCTAGCGATCCTTCCCTCATTCTTAGGAACTTTAATATCCCAATTAACAACCCCAACTGCCCTAATGCCTCTCGCCTGCTTGCTGTAACTTACTCCATTGAACTCACACCGTGGTCTAATTCAGCAACTCATACAGCAGGAAAGACTTTTGACCTCGTCTTCACCAATCTCTGTACCACCTCTAATTTCTCCAGTGATCAATTTCCTCTATCTGACCACCACCTGCTGACCTTTGATATCGGCAAATACTGTACCCAAATTACACCACCCACACAACATCAGTCTCGCATAAACCTGCACTGTCTTGACCTAGAGTGATTCTCCACTCACCTCCAAAGTCCCTTTTCACCCATCTCAAACCCCACCTGCCCTAACGCTGCACCAGACATTGTGGCACCTCCCAAGCAAGTGCCCCCAACAACAACCCTGGCACACCAAGCTGACCTGATACCTCCTAAAAGATTCCAGAACTGCTCAATGCTGCTAGAGAAAGTCTCACTCTGCATCTGACTTCCTCCACTATAAATTTATGCTGAAATCCTACAGTCTGACTCTTTCCTCTGCAAAAGAAAACTACTTCAATACGCTCATAACTACACTCTCTCGCAAACCCAAATGCCTATTTAATGCTTTTAACTCTCTTCTTTGCTCTGTTGCTCCTCCTTCTACCAACTTGGCCGCCACAAACTATGCAACTCACTTCACTGAGAAGATATCTACAATCAGGGAAGAGATCTCTCATCTCTCTCCATCCCCTACCAATTTTTCCCCAAAACCCACTCCCTCCGCTTTCCTATGCTAATTTGCACCCACCAAAGCAGAAGAGGTTTCTGCTCTACTCTGGTCCTCCCAGCCCACCACCTTTTTTCTTGACCCTATTCCCTCATATCTCATCTGCACTTTGTCTCTTTCTCTTGCTCTGCCTCTCAATAAATTTTCAATCTCTCCCTCTCCTCTGGTATATATCCTCTTCAAACATGCAACTGTAACCACGATTCTGAAAAAGACCAACCTTGACCCTAATTCCCAGTCACACTACCGCCCTATCTTGCTACTGCTGTTTGTGTCCAAGATCCATGAAAGAGTTGTGTATGCGAGTTTGACAGATTTCCTTGAATCCAACTCTCTTGACCCACTTCATTCTGGATTCCGCGCTCTTCACTCTGTTGAAACAGCAGTGACCAAAGTATCCAATGATCTTATCACTGCAAAATCCCGTGGCTACTACTCTATCCTAATTCTCCTTGACCCTTCTGCTGCTTTAGACACTGTTAATCATCAACAGCTTCTTCTTATCCTCCATAATCTCACTTTATGAGATACCGCTATCTCCTGGTGCTCTTCCTACCTCTCCCAGCGCTCTTTTAGTGGTTCTTTCCCTGGCTTTGTCTCTTCTCCCCAATCCCTCTCAGTGGCATCTCCAGGATTCATATTTAGGGGGGAACATAAAGAGCCAGGGACAAAAGTAGGGGGACAGTTATAAAAGGTGTATACATGTGTGTGTGTGTATATATATATATATATATATACATATATATATATATATATATATATATATATATATATATATATATATAGAATTACATGACTCAACAAATCCCAGGTCGCTATAGTGACTTGAAACTTTGCTCTAGTGCCTGGGATTTGTCAGACCTTTAGCTAAAACACAGAAAACACTAAAGCCATCAACCACGGGGAGCTTTGAAGCTGGCCGCCATGGTGATCATGAATGGCTGCAAGAGGGAGCAGTAACCTTTCTGCAGTTCCTCTCTGCTACCTCGTGACATGGCATCACTCTGGCCATGACATCAGTACAGAGAGCGTGCAGGGAAGCAGAGAGGAACTGCAGAAAGATTTTAGAGGAGCCCCAATGGATGCCAGGGAAAGACCTACTCAGCTGGGTGGATTTAAATAAAAATAGTGAGTGTGTGTGTGTGTGTCTGTATCTGTCAGTGCCTGTGTATGTGTGTGTCTATCAGTGTCTGTG